CAGCCGCCAAAGTTTGGTGACTTCCATAGCTTGAGAGCCTTGGAAACTGAAAAATGTCTTATCTGCGTCTTTTATTGACATTTTTCAGTGAAATCCACACAAAAAGGAGTTTTGAAATGGACATAAGAGGTGCCCTTGTTAGTAATTGATAGATATTTTATCAACTAGTTTTTCTAATTTTTGGCACCGACACCATCACCCCCCTTTCACTCACACTGCCTGGGGGTGAGGAGTGGAACATATATATACCCCTTAACTACTCTCCTCGCATGGAGAGGCTAGATTTTGAAGCTACTTGTGTGTCAACGACCCTGTTGCTTAACCCGTCCAGCCCCAGGCATTTTTGTGCGCTCCCTAACCCAAGTCATAGCCAATACAGCAGTATTTCAGAAAAAGAAGTGCGCATTCTAAAACGTGATGTAGTATCTTTGTAATGATGTTTAGATAATATCATATTAAAATGTTTAAAGGTAAATGAAAAATGTTATGAAAATTAAAGTTTGATTAAGTTTACTAAAAAAATTTTTAATGCGTAAATTCGGTACCCCCGAAACTGACAATATTTTGAACAAATTCAGTACTAACCAGCATTAAAACTCGTTTCACCAATTAACCAAAGCAGCATACACAGTATTATGGGTAGAACATGGGGATGAATTTTGTTTTAATGTGGGTATTCTTATGTCCCCCCATCAACATGATTTAGATAATTCATGAATATTGCCAGCCAGCGCCAACCCACGATGAGAGGGATACAAAGCCTCGGCAAAAAGACAGGGATACTCTATGAAAAGTATCCCAACGCGGGAAAGGAACTCAGGTCTTGTGGCGTCGCTGGCCTAGTGGTTAGGCTACCGGACTCGTAATCGTGAGATTTCGGGTTCGGAGGTTCTAGCCTCAGCTCGGTTCGACGCTGTGTCCTTGGGAGAGGCACTTACCACGTATTTCCCACTTGGTTTGATGTTTTCGGAGATGGACGTTAAACTCGGAGGTCCCGCCTCTTCAATAACCTAGTAGTGTTGATAGGGGCGTTAAACCTATACCGTTTCACCATTTCCAACTCGGGTCTTTTGCGTGCGGGCAGCGAAGCGACTAACCGAATAACCGCTGAACCACAAACGTAGGCTAGAAGAAGATGAAATAGTAACTGCTAAATAAGATCTAAAATGAAGCAGGAAATTATTCCTGCTGTCAGAGACTACGCCAAAAGACGAGGCGAGGGGGGGGGGGTGTATTAATGTCTACTGAACAACGGCTGATAGGTCTGACCGGTCGCAGATACAGAATAAGAAGAAGAGAAAAAGCTTAGACACAAAGACACCGGAGAGCAAGAGAGAGAGAGAGAGAGGGGGGGAGAGAGAGAGGGAGAGAGAGAGAGAGAGAGAGAGAGAGAGAGAGAGAGAGAAACGGAGAGAGAGAGAGATAAGGAGAGAGGGGGGGACAGAGAGAGAGAGAGATAAGGAGAGAAAGATGCACAAAGACTGAGAGACAAAGAAACATGGCTAATGGGACTGGACTGGATAAAAAAAAGGGGTAAAGAAAAAAAAGTGTAAAGGAAAAAACAAAGCAGCCGAGAGCATAATGGCATTAATTAATCGCATCTTTGAACCCAAACTGATCAAATAAACCCTTAATTTGTTTTGACGTAGCTCGCATCAGTTACAGGATCTATCCTTAAAACATAATACTCTTCTGATCAATCAGGCCTCACCTGATAGCCACAGACATCTTCTAGTGTGTGTGTGAGTGAGTACGTGTCCACGTGAGTTTGTGTGTGTGGGAAAGAGTGTGTCAGAGTATGGGAGACAGAGAGAGAGAGAGAGAGAGAGAGAGAGAGAGAGAGAGAGAGATAGTGCGTCTGTGTGTGTGTTTGTGTGTGAGTGTGTGTGTATGTGTGTGCATCGTATGCGTATCACACGATATATGTGTGTGTATGCATGTGTGTATGTATGTGTTAGTGTGTGTGTGTGTGTGTGTGTGTGTGTGTGTGTGTATGTGTGTGTGTGCGTGTGTGTGAGTATGTGCATGTGTGTGAGCTGCTATGATTAAAGTTATATCTGTTCTAGTACATCAGAGCGCGTGTGGCCTGGCGTGAGTTGTTGACGTGCCTGGGGCACATTTCTTTCAAGTCAACAAAAAAAAACCGTGTTCCTGGCCATTTTTTTTAAACAACGTTACATTATCAAAAAAAGCGGATACTCTTAAAAAGGTGGACTTGACTTAATTAAAACTAAGATCAAAATGTGATGTGGCAATCTGTTTTTAAGCAGTTAATGTAAGGGAGCAACGACATGAAATTGAGTTTCTGTTTTTATCGCTGTAGCACATCTTTTTCTTTTCCTTTGGAAAAGCTTATTTGCTCATTTATTATATTGTGAGCAGAGGCTAAGGTATGACGATTTTTTCTTCTTTTTATAGAGTAACAAGTTCGCCTGTTTGTTTCTTTTCCGCGGAATAATAATTGCTCTTAAATTATCATTTCGTATTTTGAATGATTTTAGAAACTGGTCTCTAGATAGCAATCTTTTAATGTTGGTGTCTTTTAGTTGTTGACTCTTGTAGGGTCAATAAGTTTGCTTGTGAGAAACTAAAAGAGGTTTCGAGGTCAGATTTGGAGTTTGTATAGAAGGGTAGATGAAACAGGCTCTCGGACTCGCAACCGTAAGGCCGTGGGTCGAATCCCGTCAGGAGCCCGACGTTGTGTCCTTGGGAAAGGCCCTTTCCACGAATTTTCCTCACTTCACCCAGGTGGGAACGGGTACCCAGCTTTAGATAGTGAAAGATCTTGTCATTTTGTTAACGTTTGAGCGCTTACTAGGCCTCTTGCATTGTATGCTTCCCAGGAAGCTGAGAATGTTTCTGAGTGTTCTATGGTCTGCTGGGGTAATAATATAGTGTAAAGTGCATAGAGTGGGGATGTGCGCTATACAGATGCTATTTATTATTATTATTATTATTATTATTATTATTATTACTATTATTATTATTATTATTTACAGTGAGCTCAATATACCAAGCCATTAAATGTCCGTTCAAGAACTCCAACTGGCTGTACAACATTGCTGGAATGATGTTCCTCATCGTTTGAGAAGGATTCTCATGTGGTCGGCAAGCTGTTAAAAGGCACTAAGCCCACAATTTTGTAAATCTATTTTTATTGCGGTGTCGGTAGCATGCTTCAGAAATATTTTGTTCAAGTGTTTGTACTAAAAGTTGAAAAAGGCAAAAAAAAACGCGCAAGGTAAATACAATTGTCTTAAAAAAGGGAAATAATTTTGCTTTCTGGGCTTTCTCCATTTTAAGGTGGGAGGGGGGGGGTACAACCCCAAAGTACCCATTTGGCTCAAAGTTATGGAATTGAGTTGTAGGCACTTTTAGCTTCCCCAGCCTTTTCTACTACCATTTCATCGCATAAGAACCCCCCAAAAAACGTATTTTTGCCCATACCAGGCATGTTTGTCACCACCATTTCCTCATAAAGTCAATATTTTTTTTTTATCGGCCGTTTTCTCAAAACGCGACTTTTCTCTATACATTTTTTAATAACTCCACCATTTTTCATCCAATCCTGATGAAATTTTCACAGAAAGAAGTAAAGATGTTGAACTAAAAGTTCATGTATTGGAATTTTCATATATGGAATAGATTTTTGTTGGTGGTGTCTGCAGCGTGAATTTTCACGGATTTTTTGCAAAACTTGAATGCTACCTCAGGAAAAAGTTCATTAAAAATGTTCCAATTTGTTTAGGACAAAAACAATAGACACATTTTTAGATCTAATGTTTGTAAACACGCATACAAAAAAGCAATCAATTTCCATAGGCAATAAGTGCGGTATTCATTACGTAAGACATGTCAACAAAATCCAACATGGCCGCCGTATCCATGGAAACGAAACTGTTTTCTCAAATTTTATTCCAGATTTTAAAACTCCTTACTATGCTTGTTATATGTGTGAAATTTGGTAAAATTTGGTCTAGTAGTAAACGAGATAGCCTTCAGGTGTAAGCCCCCCCCCCCCTCTCCTTGACATAATATGGTCTAAAGCAAAGATGCCTTCAGATCATTTGCCTCAAGTGTGTACATTTTCGTTATTAGATTAATATTTTTGCTAAATATATAAAGTCCTTATGGTTCAAGAGGTGGGCTACTTTAACTCTGCCTGTCTAAATCAAGCCGAGGGATACAGCGTACCTGCAGACAGACCGATTACTCGACGAAAAAACTCCCCACTCGGGATTCATATTCAAATCTTCTGCTGGGAACGGTGAAGTGTCTGACTACAAATGTATATATTATGTATTGTTTTGTTTACAATATATTGCTACGTCTAAAAAATATTATTTTTCCACCAATAAAAAGCTTATCAAGAATACCGCTAAAACCTGTATCAATAGCCAAATATAATTATAATTGTAGCCCCGCAGATTGTATCCTATTATAACAAAGATCAATGCTCTTTGTCAGTTTACAGCGCACACATCTGTCAAACTTAACCAGAAAGACAGCAGAAACAACAGACTGTTATTTAAGACGAAGATCTAAGCTACAAGTACATCCCTGGAGGTAAAAGCATGCCAATCTGTGGTAATTTTTGTCATAATTCGAATTTGATGACAGCAAAGAAAACAGTATCGCCTTTCACATTTAATATACATAGACATAGCATAGTGACATAAACACCTGCCGTGGGGGAAATTGGATAACGTTAAAGTGCTGTGCGTTTGAAATTTGATAAACTTGTGTTTAGCATTTTGGACTATGTATTTAGTTCAAACGATACACTTGGCTGGTTGGTCAGTGCTGTGTTGTGGTTTGTTCCTTGCTTCCTGTCAAACATCTATCGTCCTTATCTCCCCCCCCCCCCACCCCCTCTTTTCTTTGTTTGTTACTCTCTAGTAACACCTCCAATTTTTCGGCACCTTTATGACCTTGTTGTGTTGCGAGTACCGTAAAAACTTGCCAAAACAACAAAAAAAAGAAATAAACAAGTCACTCACTGTGTAGAACTCGTATATGCCATCGGTGCCATTCCCGTAGAAGTAGTAGTCGTAGTCGTCCTGGTAGTAATACGAGACATTTTCCTGAGAGTCTTTTTCGGACTTCATAGCCATTTCTCGACGTATCTGTCGGGATTAGCAAGAGCGAGGTTCCTTACTGATCCCTCTGGGGACGTTATCCTGAAAAGTACATAAAAATGACATGATTATCTAATCACAATGTGTCGCTGCAATAGTACTTCTGCCTTTCGTGCATAAGACGAAAACCCACTTGTTTGGTTTCATTAGGAGTTGACAACTTTGCTCGATGCATAAACACAGAAAAGGCTTCGCTTGATTAACTGCTCTCCATAGCGTGAATGAAGAACTCAGAGATAAAAATGTCCAGTTTGCTCGTTTCATGCATATAATATGTTTGCAAATTTATCTAATTTGGGTGTAGATTGATTAACTAAGCGTTTCAAAGGAGTAGTGCTGATGTTGGGGTTGTTTTTATAACATCCAAGCGAAGAAATGAATGGGTGAAACCATGATCACCGATGTTTGTTTCCGATCTGACATTTGAACAAATGTCAAAGCACAGTAACAAGCAACTTATTTGACCTTATCACGTTATAGAATATAAAAACTAGATATCACTAGCGGGACTTTACCGCTTCTGAGTATCCTTTCTCAATAAATAAATAAATAAATAAATAAATAAATAAATAAATAAATAAATAAATAAATAATCAAACACATAAACAGAACAAACAAGCGAACAAAAAAAGAATCACAAGCCCTCACAAGCCCCCTAGGGCTTGATAATTCGCAGCCCCCCCCCCCCCCCCCCCCTTAGCCACTGCCTCATTTTCTTATCCCTCTGCGGATCTGGGATAAAAGACCAAATTAGCCGGAGCAGAGATTTTTTATGACTGTCCTATCGAACACTGTCACGGTGATGCATGCTCAGTTCAGACCCAGCGACGTTGTTTTGACGTAAACCTGTGAAAACAGTCCTGTCCACGGATGTTAAATCGGTGTGTATGGTGTTACAGTTCGACCCTTGTTCGCTGTACGCAGATTACTTGAGTTCGATTCCACAGTGGTAATGTTCGAGGTCTCTGTTTCGAGTACCTATATCTGTTTGCTTGGACATTGTATTCCTTTAAATCAATGTTGGCCCTGAGAGGTAGGATCAAAGCAACCTGTCTCTCGTGTTATCAATATTGTGTCGACAGGGGCTTACAATAATTAACAGTAAAGGAGACATAATTTGTTTGTGAAACTGGTAAAAGTGAATTACACCAATCTCCCCATTTTGACCTGTTTCACCTTTAGGCGAGATCGAGAGTCACTTTGGGGGATCACGAGGATCACAATGGGGACGCAGTTTCGTTTTCTAAGAACAGGAAACAAAGCACTGTGACAATTGTGATACACGATAACGCATGGACTAAACTTTCTATGTCTATGATCCAGCTACTGAAACCGGATAATATAGCGAAGTTACCACTACTACACACATAATGGCACCTGACAGCTTTATGAATGACGTGACTACAGTGAACGTCAACTAAAGAAACAAGATATTCGCAAAGCGCCAACATTGTCTGATCAAAAGGGGAGTGATCGGTAATCGTATGACGAGACAGTATTTCGTCGGTAAGCTATTGAAATGTACTAAGCCCTGAAAGCAAATTTAGATGCTATTGTCCCAAAATGAGAACCGTCTAAATTTTTTTTCAAAAGAATGCAACTTTATCGCCATGATATATTTTTTTAATTTCACAGAGTAAGCTCGTGGAACATGGAAACTCGCTTAAATCTTCACGTTAGAATACATGCTATAGAACTGTAATGGAAACGAAACATTTTTGCCCTCGTCTTCATGGTTCACATAAAAAACTTGAAACCCCGCTAAACCGTCCAACATAACATAAACTCCTAAGAAAATCTCAGAACAGTGAGGAAAGTGCAGCTTGGATGGTACAGCCACAGAGCAAAGATCGTTCTACAAGAAGGTAAAAATGTGCAAAACTGTACAGGTTTAACACCTTGCAACCGCTGCAGGTTATTTAAAAGGCAAAACCTCCGAATTTAACGTCAGTCGCCGAAAGGAACTGGCCAAATAGGAAAATTCGTACAGATTGCTTTTCCCTAGGACACAACGTTGGACCAAGTTGAACTCAACTCCCTAAGTCTATTATCTCAGAAACTAGTAGGGAGATGTAGACCACAAAAAAAACATAATTTATACACTACGTCCTCGCTCACGATGGAGAATATGGGACAGTGGCGTACACAGATTTCTGATCATCAAGGCGGCTCGCAAAACATTTTATTTTGAAGTTAAAGAAGAAGAAGAAGAAGAAGAAGAAGAAGAAGAAGAAGAAGAAGAAGAAGAAACAACAACAACAAGAACACAATAGCCGCAAAAACAATATCAACAGGTTTTATCAAATCGCTATCATATCGGTAACAGACGAGAAAGATTCAATACGTCCGCTTGGGCGTGTCTCCGAAGTGTAAAAAAACCCGTAGGTTCCAGACCCTTCTACGGATTCTGATTTACGCTCTGAAAACTGTGAAGGGGCTGTCTGGCGCTGGAATAAATCCTTCGCAAAAAACGGCTCCCCAGCAAGAAAGGGGATGTGTAAAGTTTGATGGAGTTTCCACAAAGCTGTCTCGAGTGGCTACTGTGTGTTGATACAAGTCCTATCGTCTGGTGACAAAAACTATGGATTAAAAATTGCAATTCTGTACAGCTTAGTAGAACGATGCGTGGATATGAGATCTTCAAGTACCAGTTTTAATGTCCCCAGCGTACGTTTGTGAAAATGATTACCCCCTTTCCCAGAAAAAAATTGTGCCCACATCTTTTCTGTCATCAACAATTTAGAGGTGAAATTGAAATTTGATTTCATAATCTATCAAGCCTATTGCAAGACACCTTTCTCTAAGAAGAGGCATTTTGGAGTTAAAAGCGATCCACTGAAGTTCCCTGTTTTGCTACAAAAAATAGAGGGTTCTCATTATGAGGCATCAACTTGCAAATTTGAATTTTCGGTCGAATCGGCAAGATGTTGAAACTAAAATCACCCTCACAAGTCTTGGTTGCATACTGATTTTGAATATCACTGGCACTAATGAAAAGAGAACAGAGGCCCTTTTCAGGGATATGACAAAAAATCAAAATCTGAAACTACAGCTAATATTATAAGGGGAGGGGGGGATGGGTTGGGTTTGATTTTCTTTTTTTCTTTTCCTTTTTTTTTTGGGGGGGGGGGAGTCAAATGAAGTTTAGTTTTCTGTGACTCCAAACTCGTTTTTACTGGGCTGCTCTGCAAATCGATATGTCAGAAGGAATCTGAAATTCTTTCATCTCCCAGAGACAGAGGACAGAGCTTCCGCGTACAGAGTGTAAGATTAGGGGACATCACCATGCAAAAAAGGGGGAGTCGCCGAAAAATTTGACCGCCGAAGATGTCAGATAATCTCGAACGACTGTGAGTGACTTCGGCGTGGCGAAAACGTGGGGGGATTACAGGCGTTGTCGGGGATGCCAAGGCGATTTTTTCAAACTTGGACCGAAAGAAAGAAAGGTTTCAGATTTCAGATGATTTTATTGATTTATATTAAAGAAAGAAAGAAAGAAAGAAAGAAAGAAAGAAAGAAAGAAAGGAAAAAAAGAAAGAAAAGAAAGAAAGAAAAAAAGAAAGAATGTAAGGCGAAAATAAACAAAGAAAATGACACTTCTAGAGCGTTGGGTACTGGTCTTGGTGTGTTTTGGGAGGAAGGTATTGTTTTTATTTTTGTTCTTGTTTGCTTTGTTAGTTTTATTTTTGTTTTGTTTTGTTTTTCCGCTCGTTGTTTTGCTGATAAGTCCAATGAGTTAACTGCGGGGCGAGTGGTTGACAGATCGTTATTGTTTTTGATTGAGAGAGTGTCTCTTTTTGTTTTTTTGTTTTTTCTACTTTTTCAAGTTGCTAGTTAAAATATATTGCATATTATGTTCTGCTTTTCTTTTGTATAGCTTATGTTTTCTTATTCTTTGTTTTCTTTTCTTTTTTTTTTTCCTTTTTTTTACCTTTAAAGTCATGCTTAGCTTTTAGTTGTTGTTTTTGTGTTGTTGTTGTTGTTTTTGTTTATTTGTTTGTTTTGTTTGGGGGGGGGGGTGGTGGTGGTTGTGGTGATGGTAGTGGTGGATGATGTTGGTAGTGGTCGATGGTGGTGGTGGTTGTGGTGATGGCTGTGGTGGATGATGGTGGTGGTGGTGATGCTACTGGTACTGCTGGTAGTGGTGGCAGTGGTGGTGATGGTGGTAGTGGGGGTGGTGATGGTAGTGGTGGTGGTGGTGGTGATGGTGGTAGTGGTGGATGATGGTGTGGGTTGTGGTGATGGTAGTGGTGGTGGTAGTCGTGGTGCCACTGGTACTGCGGGTAGCAGTGGTGGTGGTGGATGGTGGTGGTAGTGATGATGGCGATGGTGGTGGTTGTAGTAATGGTAGTGGTAATGGTGGTAGAAGTAGTGATGGTGATGGTGATAGTGGTGATGACTGATGGTGATGGTGATAGTAGTAGTGGTGGCACTGGTGGGGGGTGTGGTGGGGGTGGTAGTGTAGTGGACGTAGTAGTGGTTGTGGTGTTGGTGATTGTGACAGTGATGGTGGTGGACGTTGTGCTATGAATAGTGGTGGTACTATTAATGGTGGTGGTGGTGGTGGTGGTGATATTGGGGGTAAGGGAGGAGGTGGTGGTGGTGGTCGGGGAGGTGTTCGTGGTGACGATGATAATATTACCTCAAACAATATAGCTTTGAAACGTATCTTCGGAGTTAACAGTTCAACTTTATTTGGTTTTACTTGCTCTCCTCCTTTCTACCCATTACTTCTGACTTTGGGAGGGTTTTCAGTAACCGTTCATATTATTTTATTATGCAATAGTATATGGGTCAAAGGTGATAATAAGGGGATAAAAAGAAAAATAGGATGATTACCTTCTTACAGCTACATGGATAACGAAAAACCGAAGCCACATCAGAAGTCGATGGCGTCACTGGAGACAAGTGGCTTCCTGGCCACCCAATACTGCCACGAGACCCCGGAAGTCACCGACATTCCTTTCCTGTATTTGTCTGGTCTTTAACAAAACTGTCAAACACGTATTTTGGGGGTTGTTGGCGGATGCTATCAAACAAAT